GCAGAGGTCAACCCATTGCTGCCAAAGAGTGGGGGTCTGTTGGAAGAAAGAAAGAGACATTGGTGTGAATGATGGCGCATGACTGTCATTACAGAACCCATCTCAGGCCTTGGACATTTTCAATATAGTTTATTGGTTGGGGGGTGCCAAAACCTATCCTTAGAGCAACATGGAAGGACTAGACTGAGATTGTACTGGGTGTGAAAGATTGTCAGGCATACAGTAAACAGCTGATGAGAACACAAACCTTCAGGGGTTTTATTCTCTGCATCCTCACTAACATCTATTATTTTTTGTCTTTTAATAACAGCCATTCTGACTAGGGTAAGATAATATCTCATTATGGTTTAATTTGCATTTGCATTTCTCCAATGATTAGTGATATTGATCATTTTTAAATATAAGTGTTGGCCATTTGTATATCTTCTTTTGAGAAATGTCTATTCATGTCATGCCTAAGGGGATTTTTTTTTTTTTTTGAAACTCACTCTGTTGCCCAGGCTGAGGTATAGTGGTATGATCTTGGCTCACTGCAACCTCTGCCTACAGGCTCAAGTGATTCTCCTACCTCAGCCTCCTGTGTAGCTAGGATTACAGGTGCATTGCCACCACTCCCAGCTAATTTTTATATTTTTAATAGAGACAGGGTTTCACCATGTTGGTCAGGCTGCTCTCGAACTCCTGACCTCATTGTGATCCACCTGCCTTGGCCTCCCAAAGTGCTCGGATTACAGGTGTGAACCACCAAGACTGGCCTGTCATTTTTTTTTCCTCCCTATTGTTTGAGGTCCTTTTATTCTACATGTTAGTCCTTTGTTGTATGGATAGTTTGCAAATATTATCTCCCACTCTACAAGATCTTAGTTTTAAATTATTTTCCTAGACCCATGTCCAGAAGAGTTTTACCTAGGTTTTCTTGTAATATTTTTATAGTTTTGGGTCTTACTTAACCCTATTCTATAATCAATTTTGAGTTGATTTTTATATATGGTAAGAGATAGGGATCCAGTTTCATTCTTTTGCATATGGCTGTCCAATTTTCCTAACACCATTTATTAAAGAAGGTGTCCTTTACCCAGTGTCAGTTCTTGTCAGCATTGTCAAAGAACTGACAGGCTGTAAGTATGTGTCTTTATTTCTGGGTTCTCTATTCTGTTCCATGGAGCATTTCTCTTAGAGTCACTCTTGGTTATAACAATTTCCCCTAGCATTTACTTGTCTGGGAAAGACTTTATTTTTCTTCCATCTATGAAGGATGATGTTGCTGGATAGACTCTTCTTGGCTGACAGTTTTTTTTTTTTTTAATTTCAGCATTTTAATTATATCACCTTATTCTGTTCTAGCATGTGAAGTTTCTGCTAAGAAATCCACTGTTAGTCTGATGGGGATTTCTTTATTGGTGACTAGATGCTTTTCTCTTGCTTTTAAAAGGATATGCTTTTTATCTTTGACTTTAGGCAGTCTCACTGTAATGTGCCATGGGGAGATATTTTTGCATTGTGTTTGCCTATGGATTGCTGAAGCTCCGGTAACTGAATGTGAATGTCTGACATTCTTGCTAGACTTGGAAGTTTTCTTCTATTATTTAATTATATAGGTTTTATAGTCCTTCCTTTGTCTCTTTGCCCCTGGGATGCAAATAATTTGAATATTTGATTACATTATGTTATCCCAAGTATCACAAAGCCTTTGTGAATTCTTTAGGTTCTTTTTCTTTATTTTTGTCTCACTGGATTATTTCAAAAGATGTGTCTTCAAGTTCTGAGATTCTTTCTTCTGCACGATCTAGTCTATTACTGAAGCTTTCAAATATATTTTATATTTTCTTCAATTAATTCTTCAACTCCAGAATTTCTATTTGATTGATTCTTAAAAATATCTGTCTATCTCTTTGATAGATTTCTCATTTATATCCTGAATTCTCCTTCTGAAATCTTTGTATTGTTTTCCAGAATTCTCTCATATCTAACTGAGCTTCTTTAAAATTGAAATTTTGAATTATTTATCTTGGATTTCAGCAACTTCTTTTTGATTAAGATCTATTGCTGGAAAATTATTGTTTTCCTTTGGAGGTTTTACATATCTTTGTATTTCGATGTCTTCTATGTCTTTATGTTGATATCTGTGTATCTGATGTAACAGTTGCATCGTCCTATTTTTGAATTTACTGCCGTAGGGTAGGACTTTTCTGAAGATATATCTGTGGTGTTGGTTGAGTAGGGCACTTTGGCTTTTATTCTGGGTGCATGTAGTAGTGTAGTCTCTGTATTTTTCTTTTTTTCTGTAAATAGCATTAGTGCTATTTCCTCTGTGATTTCCTTAGAGGATTAGGATGTAATTATTAGTGAAGGCTGTGGTGAAGTTGTGCTGGGGACTGGGGAGCCAGGTGGGCTAGTCTTCAGGCCCCAAGGGTAGCAAGAGTAGGGTGAGTCTACTTATCTTTGATCCCCAGAGTGGTGTATGCTGGCACCTGTGTTGGCGGTTACTGGTAGGCCGGTTCCTGGGCCTTAGGTGGCTTGCATGGATGCTGGTAGTGGCAGCAGTGGGCTAGGTGACTGAACAGGTTCTTATGTCACTGGGAAACCAGTGTGCTATGGGTCATGGCAGTAGAGATGGGTGGAATGATCCTCTGGGTCCTGCATGGTATGGGCTAGCATTGGTGGTATCTGTGCTACTGGTCACCACCCACAGCTCCAGACATGCTGCTCTCAGGCTCTTCTGCTCTCTGCAGCAGCAGTGCCACAGTGCCATGTGGCAGGGAGGAAGGACTTGCTTTCACACCAGATCCCAGGCATGCAGGCCATGTCACACTGTGGGGTTGAGTCTCAGACAGGCAGCTCTGGGTCACCTGACCTAGCCTTCAGCAGCAGTAGCAGAAGTGGGTGTGTGGACAAGGACGAGTTGTCCCGTTCTCTATGTGTGAGCCTAAGTACAGAGACTGTTCTGTTGGTGGGGGAGGAAATTAAACTAATGAGTATAAATTACTCCAGTTTGCCATTAAAGGAAATGATAAATATGGTGAGATGGTGGTAGTTGGAAGGAGTTCTGGAGCCTATTGAAGTGTTCCCTGTGTTAATGGGGTTTGTTTTAATAGAGAGAAAATGAACTTAAAGATATAGGTGTAACTATTTTATTGAATCAGCTAGATTTGATTAGTTTAAGTGGGAAGCAAACATTATTTTCTTACTACTGCCCTTCAAACTCGTGTGGCACACGTATCTCTCTAAAAGCTTTCCTAGTCAGTTTTGTCAATTAACTCCTTCTCATTGTCAGATATTAAATAACTTATTTCATCTAAATTAGTACTTCCATTTAGCATACAATCAAGCTATGTTCCTTCTCCCAGCTCAACCTGGTCCTGCCAATTATTACACAAGCCAAGGGAAAGAAGAAGGTCCTGATCAGTTCTTCCACCCTATTCTTTTACTCTCTATTCTTTTCATTAGTTCTTTTTCTTTTCTTTCTTTCTTTCTTTCTTTTTTTTTTCTTTCTTTCTTTTTTTTTTTTTTTTTTTAAGATAGGGTCTTGTTCCATCACCCAGGCTGGAATGCAGTAGTGCAGTCATGGCTTACTCTAGCCTCAATCTCCTGGGCTCATGGTACTCTCCTACCTCAGCCTTCTGAGTATCTGGGACTATAGGAGTATGCTGCCATACTTGGCTAACTCTTTGAGGGGTAGACATAGGAGTCTTGCTATGTTTCCCAGGCTGATCTTGAACTCCTAGCCTCAAGCGATCCTCCTGCCTCGGCATCCCAAAGTGCTGGGATTATAGGCATGAACTACTGTGCCTGGCCCTAATCTGTTTTTCAATTCATATTATAGTTTTTGTTTCCTCCATAAGTGGGGCAAGGTGTGGGGAAGAGTTAAGTTGTTAAAGAGTTAAGAATTAAAGTGAGGATCAGCATCAGTCTTGTACCCCATGGAAATATCAGGAAATACAAGTCAGGTAGTTAAAGAGATTCTCTTATATTACTCTGATCAGGAAACAGCCCTGGGTAAACCAATAGATTTTGCAGTATTGGGAAGAGTGAGGTGTTACTTTCTCCTTTTTGTATATATTGCTATTCTCTATAAAAAGTCCCTCTTCCTTGGTTTGAGATAAGGGACATCATCCCTCCTCCACCCTCCATGGGGAGGGAAAAATCAGGGAAATGCATAGAACTCCAGTAGCTCTATTCAGAAAAAATACTATCTCTGCACTCAGATCAGTCTCCAGCCTTCCCATACATAGACAACAGGTTGGTGAAGGGTGAAGTGTTGAAACACTTTTTTTGGCCACCCCTTTGCAAATTTTGCCTTAATGAATCTATTATCTCCTCATTTGAATGTACACATTCTCATCATTTATTACATTCAGCTGAGAGAACAGAAAAATGTCATTTCACATTCTGTTGCCTAGGAAAGAAAAGGCATTTATGATTCTTGCCTAAGAATGCAGGTTCAGTGCATTTTCTGAATGTAAGATAGAAAAGAATACTTATTGTTATAACCTAAATAAGTTTATGGCACCTGTGGCCACTATCAGAATGTTATCAGGTTCAAAAGACACATTGATCTGATGTCTGGCATGTAAAAGAAATGTAAATCTTTGGTCAAGGAAATTTCAAATGAGGGATGTATACATTTCAAACAATGTATGATAAATAGCAAAACTTCATCAAAAATATTTTATTCATACCTATTGCCAGAGTTTTAGTGATAACCTCTCAAAAATCTCTCCTTGTATCCCCCCGCTTCTCTCTACCAATTCTACTCTTCCAAGAATAATTCTTGATCCTTTTTAAATCTAATACAGTTTAGCATTTTCACTCCTTCAGTTCCTCACTCAAACTTTATACCAGACATCTCAACATACATCCTGATAGCTGAGCAAGTGTATACAGAAACATTTTTAGAAGATGAGGAAGGGGTGAGTAAAGAAAGTTATGAATGCTAAGATATTTCGTCTGGGACATACTGATAAATATAATTTAATTTTTCTTTTTTTCTTTTGGTTTAGCCAAAACTGGTAAAACTGAGTCACTACATGTAGCATTCACTGAAGATGAAACCACTTCCATTAAAACAGATAAAACTCATTCTCCTGATGTTTTAAGAAATGAATCAGAAACACCTATCAGCATCCAAAATATCTTTCTTGATCATTCTGTACAAGAAAGAGTAACTATAATTTTATCACCCCAAAAATCTACTAAGCATGTCTGCTGGAAGATTCCAGATACTGCTACTGGTTCCATATTTTTTCCAAGTTGTCCTTCAGCTTCTACTCGAGTTTTTGGGAAAAAAACAAACAAAATGGAAAGTTCAAGAAAGTTGAAAACTGTGAAAGACGTTTATACTGAGAAAAGGCTAGAAAACATTTTAGTTCTTTCTTCAGAGTTCTCCAAACCTAAAAGTATTCCTGGCCCAGTTATCACTCACAAACCTGAGAAAGTGCACCCTAAGTATCAACCTTTACCAAAGAGTCCAGGCTATACTTATCGGCACACCTCGAGAAATGTAAGAGCAACAGTGCCAAGCCCTCCACCTCGGACTGTATCTACAAAGCCAGAAGGACAGTCTGAACAGTTTAAACCAACTACTACATTGGCACTAAGAGTTACTGAATTTCCAGGTTTTATTTCCTTGCCAACACCAACTTTGCCAAGAAAACCTCAAAGACAGTCTGTGATAGGTAAATACAATCTGAACATAGTATGATTAGAGAGTCAAGTAGAGCAAAGGGGAGAGAAGGCATTCAAGCTAATGGTATCCCTCCCTCTTTGGGTTTTCAGGGTGGGAAGATGGAATCACCTTGTATCTATACATGTAATACTTGAGCCATAGGGCAATAACCAAAATCCTGACCTTGCAGATCTGCCAAGGCCAAGCTGGGCACTCCATTCAGATGGTGATGATGGGAACCAGTAAGGGAATTCAAAGGATCAGAAAAGCTAATATAAAGAAACAGTGAGAATACACAATCATTCAAAAGGTGATCTAGATGAACTCCAGAAGTAGAATGCCAATACTGATAGATGCCTTCACGAATACATTTTCATGGAAAATTGCAATCCATTAAATGATGAACAATTATACTGAAGTCATAAAACCCTCAAATGAATTTTTACAAGTATCCAAAGTCCTCCATTTTTTTCCTTTTTTCTAGAAACTCTTGCAACAGAAAATGAAAATGTAGAAAGTACCTCAAAGCAGATCCCACCAAGACCACCTGAAGGTAACTGCTAGATTTATACAATTCTTTTAGAAACTGTATACAAGATTATATCTTTATAAAAGTATTATTGATTTTGTATGTTTATGTGTGCACTTCACACATGCATAACACACATATGGCTTACCTCATTTTCAGCTCCGTAAGTCATTTATGGAGCAGCTATTTTTAATGTATTGACTATGAACCAAACATTTTGATATTCAGAATCTAAAAGCTGATGTACTATTATTCTGGGTGGGACAAACAGGCATACAAAAATATGAATTAACTATTTGCCATGTGCCAGACACTGTTTCAAGTGCTTTGACCTTACTTACTTGGAAGAAACAAATAATGAAAATGAAATACATCTTTGAAGAAAGCTTACACCATCCTAGATGTTACAAAATGTCTACAAACAATCTCTCAAATATAGTGGGTGGTAAATAATTTACAATTACCAGGCACACAAAGAGAAAGACAAAATGAATGAAAACTAGCAGAAACAATAAGTGCTAGAAATATATCTACAGGATAATTTGGTGTTAGGATTATTGGACACATTTTTAAATAACTTGGTGACTTCTGGGTTTTTTTCCATGATTCAGTAGTGTGTATTGGACTAACCTTACCAAAATTGACTATTAAAAGCTGCCAAAAATATATAAGGTACTATTGAAGGAACTGGACAGTAACCAATGTGGATATGACTTGAGTGGAACTGGACAGTAACCAATGTGGATATGACTTGAATGCCTACAATTCCTGCAAGAAGGGAAGCTCTACCTTTACCTGGGCTTTTGCCAAAGGGTATTTGTGGTATGGGAGTATGGATCACAAGTGGTGCTTTTAGTGGATTGAGGAGATAGCAGTCAGACTTCAGAGCAGCCAATAGACTTGGGACTTGAGGGAGAAAGTCTTGGCGAGGAAAGAATTGAAAGATGAAGCAAAAAATCTGCATACAAGCTGGGCACAGTGGTGTGCAGCTGTAGTCCCAGCTCTTGAGAGCCTGAGGTGGAATATCACTTTAGCCCAGGAGTTTAGGGCCCACCTGGGTAACATAATGAGACTGCATTAAGCCATTCTGGCATTGCTATAAAGAAATACCTGAGACTGGATAATTTATAGAGAAAAGAGATTTAATTGGCTTATAGTTTTGCTGACCATATAAGAAGTGTGGTGATGGTATCTGCTTCTGGTGAAGGGCTCAGGGAGCTTTTACTCATGGTAGATAGCAGAGTCAGAGCTTGCATATCACATGATGATAGCAGGAACAAGAGAGTGGTATGGGGTAGGGGGTGCCACACACTTTAAAACAGCCAGATCTTACAAGAACTTGCTATCTTGAGGGCAGTATGAAGCCATAAGGGATCCACTCCCATGACCTAGACACCTCCCACCAGGCTGATGTCCAACATTGGGAGTTACATTTCAACATGAGATTTAGAGGGGACAACATCCAAACTATATTACTCCACCTCTGGCCCCTCAAATGTCATGTTCTTTTCATGTTGCAAAATACAGTCATCCCCTGCCAGTAGTTCCCCAAAAGTCTTACATCATTTCAGCATCATTGAAAAGTACAAAGTCTCACGTGAGACAAGTCATGTCCCTTTGTATTAGAGTTCTCTAGAGGGATAGAACTAATATGTTATGTGTATATATGAAAGGGAGTTTATTAAGGAGAATTGACTCACATGATCACAAGGTAAAGTCCAACGATAGACCGTCTGCTAGTTGAGGAGTAAGGAAACCAATAGTGACTCAGTCTGAATCCTAAAACCTCAAAAGTAGGGAAGCTGACAGTGCAGCCTTCAGTCTATAGCTAAAGGCCCAACAGCCCCTGGCAAACCACTGGTGCAAGTCCAAGAGCCTAAATGCCAAAGAACTTGGAGTCTGATGCTCTAGGGCAGGAAGCATCGAGCACAGGAGAAAGATGAAGGCCAAAAGACTCAGCAAGTCAGCTTCTTCTACCTTCCGCCTGCTTTTTCAGCTGCCTGTGCTGGCAGCTGATTGGATGGTGCCTACCCACACTGTGGGTAGGTCTTCCTGAGGGTCGGTCTTCCTTTACTACTCCACTGATGCAAATGTTAATCTCTTCTGGCAACACTCAGAAACACCCAGATACACCCAGAAACAATACTTTGTATCCTTCAATCAAGTTGACAGTTAACATTAACCATTACACCCTTCCACCTAGACACCTGTAAAATTAAAACAAATTATTTACTGCCAGGATACAATGGGGGTGGGTACCAGCATTGAGTAAACATTCCCATTCCAAAAGGGAGAAATTGGCCAAAAGAGAGGGGCTACAGACCCTATGCAGGTCTGAAACCCAGATGAGTAGATATTATATCTTAAAGCTCTAAAATAATCTTTGATTGGATGGCCCACATCCAGGGCACACTGATGCAAGGGGTGGGCTCCCAAGGCCTTTTCCAGCTCCACCAATGTGGCTTTGCGGATACAGCTCCTGTGGCTGCTCTCATGGGTTGGAGTTGAGTACCTGTGGCTTTTCCAGCCTCAGGATTTAAGCTGCATGGGGTGCTACCGTCCTGGGGTCTGAAGGGTGGCAGCCCACTTCCCACAGCTCCATTTGTGTGGGGGATCCAACCCCACATTTCTTCTCTGTACTGCCCTGATAGAGGTTCTTGGTGAAGGCTCCACCACTGTGACAGGTTTCTACCTGAGCACCTAGGTTTTCTCATACATTTCTCTGAAATGTAGGTGCAGGCTGTCAAACCTCCTTCACTCTTGCATTCTGCAGGTTTTGAGGCTTAACACCATGTGGAAGTCACCAAGGCTTACATATTGCAGACTCCAAAGCAGCGGCCTAAGCAGTATCTAGAGTGCTTTGAGCTGAGGCTGGAGTCAGAATGGTCAGGATGCAAGGAGCAGCCCCCTCAGGTGGCACGGGGCAATAGTGCCCTGGCCCTGGCCCCTGAAACTATTCACTCCTCTTGGTCCTCTGGGCCTGTGATGGGAGCGGCTGCCACAAAGGTCTCTGAAATGTCTTTGAGGCCTTCTTCCCATTTTCTTGACTATTCGTACTTGGATCCTTTTTAGTTATGCAGATGTCTCTAGCAAGTGGTTACTCTATAGCCTGCTTGAATTTCTCTCCCAAAGCTTTTTCTTTACCTGCTACATGGCCAGACTGCAAATTTTCCAGACTTTTACAGTCTGCTTCCCTTTTGAATATAAATTTAAACTTTGCCATTACTTTGCTCCCACAGATGAGCATAGGCTGTTAGAAGCAGCCAGGCTAAATCTTGAATGCTTTGCTGCCTAGAAATTTCTTCTATCAGTTACCGTAAGTCATCACTTTGATGTTCAGACTTCCACAGATCATTAGGGATGAATAGAATTTAGCCAAGCTGTTTGCTAAGGCATAACATGGATGACTTTTGCTTCAGTTTCAAATAAGTTCCTCATTTCAATCTGAGACCTTGGCAGCCTGGACTTTACTGTCAATATAAGTATCAGCATTTTGGTCATGCTGTTTACCCAGTCTCTGAGAAGTTCCAAACTTTCCCTCATCATCCTGTCTTCTTCTGAGCCCTAGAAACTCTTCCAGCCTCTGCCTGTTATCTAGTTCCAAAATGGCTTCCACATTTTCATGTATCTTTATAGCAATGCCCCCTTTTCAGTATTAATTTTATGTGTTGGTTTGATCTTGCATTGCTACAAAAAAAAAACACCTCAAGACTGAGTAATTTATAGAGAAAAGAGGTCTAATTTGTTTACAGTTCTGAAGGCTATACAAGCATAGTCGTGGCATGCACTTGGCTTTTGGGGAGGCCTCAGTGAGTTTTTATTCATGGCAGAAGATGAAACGAAACAAAAGCAGGTATATCATGTTGCAAAAGCAGAAGCAAGAGAAAGATTGAAGGAGAGGTGCCACACATTTTTTTTTTTTTTTTTTTTTTTTTTTTTTTTTGAGATGGAGTCTTGCTCCGTTGCCCAGGCTGGAGAGCAGTGGCACAATGTCAGCTCACTGCAATCTCAGCCTCCCAGGTTCAAGTGATTTTCCTGCCTCCGCCTCCTGAGTAACTTGGATTGCAGGCATGCACCACCACGCCCAGCTAATTTTTGTATTTTTCATAGAGACAGGGTTTCACCATGTTGACCAGGTTGGTCTTGAACTCCTGACATCAAGTGATCCACCCTTCTTGGCCTCCCAAAAGTGCTGGGATTACAGATGTGAGCCACTGCATCCAGCCTGCCATGTACTTTTAAACAACATCTAATGAGAATTCCATTCACTATCAGAAGGACAGCACCAAGCCATAAGAGATCTGCCTGCATGACCCAAACACCTCCCTCCAGGACCCACATTGGGGATTACATTTCAACATGAGATTTAAAGAAGACAACATCCAAACTATATCACAATCTCCTGAAAAGAAATCTGCATACAGACTCCCTCAAGGGTGCTAGCTGATTTCTAAGCCATGCATGTATAGAACAAGACTCCAAGAAACACAGCAGAAAACATCAGCTGAGAAGATAAGAAATTGATCATAGAGTTTTGTGGTTGCACAAGAGGTGGATAGTAGAGTTCAAGCTCTGACAAAGTGTTGGGGCCTTTGTAAACACATTGGAATTTCAGTTGAAATTCCATGCCTTAGGAATAAAAAGCATGTTCTAAGAAAGGGGACAAAATCAAAATATCCAAGCCCTAACAAAGCTCAAATCAATATTTGATAATGGTATTTTCTGCCTAATCAAGGAAAACCTAACACATGTTGAGAGAGAGAGAGCAAGAGAGAGTGCATTATCCAGACTTGTTAAAATAGTTCATACTCAGAGTCCAGCATTAAATTTAAAAATTACAAAGCATTCTAAAAAAAAAACAAAATATCTGAAAACCAGTAGAAAGAAAGGCAATAGAAATAGTCCTATATTTGATTCAGATATTAGAGTTTCAAATGGATTTAAAAATGACTATAATTACTATGTCCAAGAAAATAAACAGATCATTGGAGAATTTCACCACAGAACTGGTATTTTTGTTTTTAAAAATGAGTCAAGTAAAATTCTAGTACAATAAAAATAATATAACAAATTAATAATTCAAATAGCTGCATTTAGTAAGAGGTTATACATAGCAGAACACTCCAACAACAGCCTTCATTCCTCCCAGAACTTTTGTATCATTGCCTATGATGTAAATTAACTTCTGGGTCTCTTCCATGTCATGCTGCCATTTTTGCTTTATTGAGTTTCTTCTCTGGTGGTTTCCTCCTTAGAAAATTCAAGGATTCTCAGATTCTTGAGAGATCACCTCCTCTTCACCTCCATCTTCCTCATTTCTACTCAACAACCAACTGCTTGGGCCTAGAGCAGGGAACAGGCCACAGACTTACGTCTTAACCCACTTTCTTTTCCTTCTTGCTGTATTCTTTCTCCCAAGCCAAGGAATCTCCGTATTACATTATATATCTTTCTTTATTCTGTGGTCAGCTTTTACATCTCTTGATCTGAAATGGGCACAGAGATTCTATTTTAGAAATTTAAAAAATTTTTGTTTTGTTTGTTCTAGGATGCATTATTTTCTCTCATTGAAGCAGTAGCATAAGAATTACTGACATTATAAAATATGTTTCTGCAAGCAATGCAGCAATAATAACTGGGAATAAAATATATTACATAAAATTTTGAAATACTTTCCTGCTACACTTTGGTGTATACTTCCAGTGGACATTTTTGATGGAAGGTGAAACCCATAGGGTCATAATAAAGTAAATTTAAATTTAGATGGTCTTTGTTTGGCTTACTCCTGAGATGTTTGTTTGTTTATTTCCTATGGGGGAGCTACAAACTAAAGGAAGAGTTTAATTACAGAGGGCATTCGAATTATACATCAAAGTGATATTAAGGAAAAAGTGAGGTTGATGTCTTGCTGAGATAATTCTTACATGATGTCACTTATTAATTTTGTGAGCCAGAAGTTCTTTATGTAATTCATAGTAAATTTTAAAACATTTTTACACATAGTATAAAAAGACAGATATTGATGGAATCTAAATTATCTAGGTAGAAATCTATGAACATATGATTTTCTTTGGGGAAGATAATGGTACATCTAAAATTACAAAATAACACAACACCCAATTTGGCAAACAACTAACTGAGTTTGGGTAGATGAAGGCTATTGGGAATCACTGCCAGAGGATGTGTGCACCTAAGCTTTTAGGGTAACTCAATATTACCATAAGATAAATACCTCTTGATTATCATTCTAAGTGATAACATATTTAAATTTTATGCTTTGTTTTGTTTATTTAGGTGCTAAAAAAATAGAATCAGAGGTACATATTGTACGTGGTGAAGGTTTTAAGACTGTTGCAGCAACACGGTATGAAACAATAACAGCCATGACCAACCTGGCCATAGTAAACTGTCAAGTATATGGAAGAAATGCACTTAATCTTAAGGTATGCTAGATCTTTTCAGTGTCCTCCAGTATTATCAATTGTTTTGCTTTAGATTTCCCAATATAAATTAGTTTCCATGATATTGAGGGGAACTTTCTTATTACAATAGAGATTTCTCAGGAAAACATTCAAATTGCATCTCTAAACCTATATTCCTAGTTTGCCTTCAGTTTGAAAAGATTCTGAGGTCCAAGTCAATCACAGTGCTTTTTTATTACTTAGCATGATAAGAAAATTTGAATTCAGATTTATTGTATTTTTAAGTTATTAGCAATCTTTGGCTCTGTGACAAATCTAGTACTAGGATGGCTTTTCACTACACACAAGCTCAGTATCATGAATAACAATATTAGTTATCATTTGTTAAGTAACCACTATGTGCCAATTACACATTACTCCTAAAACACAATTATGTAAAGTAGGTATTATAATCTTCATCCTGCAGATAAGAACAATGAGGCTTAATGAAAGTAACTTGTATACGATCACACAGTAAGCAAGTTGTAGAGCTTGGGTTTGAACCCAGAACTTTTTGGCCTCAAAATCTATGCTTTTTTATTTTAAATTTTATTTTGAAATAAATTCTAACTCATAGAAAAGTTGTGAAAATAGGAAAAGCTACAGAGAGTTCATCTGAAAAATTAGGGCATTAAAATAATACTCATATATACTGGGAAATTGGGAAAGCCAGATGCATGGCTGGGGCCAGACACATTCTTAGAAAAGACCTGAGAAGGTCCTCAGCTTTTACATCTGGCTGACCTCTAAATGCAGTGCAAGCAGGAAGTAAAAGCTAAGGCAGTTGTAAATGGCCTGGCTAAGCATTGAAGGAGTTTCTTAGCACAGAGTCCATCTGAAAAGATGGAATTCTCTCTCTCCTCCTCTCTCCATGTTCTATTGTATAAAGCAATCTCTGTCAAAACAACAACTGAACACAAGCTAAAGGAGCAGAGACTTTAAAGAAAATACGTGACAAAGAATATAGCCTTCAAAAAAAGTGCATGTGGACTTCTGCCAAAATTTCCGAATAGAAACAGCTCAGGTCTACAGTTCCCAGCAAGAGCGCACCAGAAGACGAGTGATCTTCACATTTCCAACTGAGGTACCAGGTTCATCTCATTAGGACTGGTTAGATAGTGGAACAGCCCAAGGTGGGCAAGCCGAGGCAGGGTGGGGCATCACCTCACCGGGGAGGCACAAGGGGCCAGAGAACTATCTCTCCCAGCCAAGTGAAGCCATTAGAGACTTTTCTGGATATTCCGGCACTCCAGCTCAGATACTGCATTTCCCCCGCAATCTACACAGCCCAGAGACCAGGAGATTCCCTCCCACAACTACAATGCCAGAGCCCCAGGTTTCTAGCACAAAACTAAGGCGGCCGTTTTAGTCAAGTGGCACCTGGAACAACAGTGAGAATCACTAAATCCCCTGAGAAATGGGGCTGAAGCCAGGGAGCCAAGTGAGCTGACTTGGCAGGTTCCACCCCCAAGAAGACCTGCAAGCTAAGATCTGCTGGCTTGATATTCTCACAGCCAGTATAGCAGCAGTCTGAGCTCAACCTGGGATATTCAGCTTGGTGCGGGAGGGGCATCCGCCATTGCCGAGGCTAGATGGTTTCAACATTGCCTGTGTAAACAAAGCCACCACCACTAGGAAGTTTATATAGCAACTGGGTGGAGCCCAGCACGGCAGCTCATCAAGGCCTCTGCAGGCAGATCGTGAAGTAGATTCCCTTCTTGCTGGGCAGGGCATCTCTGAAAAAAAAAGACAGCAGCCTGTCAGGGACTTAAAAAGCCTCCACCCTCCTGGGACAGAGCACCTGGGAAATGGGCAGTTGTGGGTTCCACTTCAGCATACTTAAACATCCCTGCCTGGCAGCCCTGAAGGGAGCAACGGATCTCCCAGCACAGTGCTTGAACTCTGTTAAGGGACTTGCCTCCTCAAGTGGCTCCCTGACCCCCTGTGTATCCCATCTGGGAGACATGTCATAGAGGAGAGCTATGGCTGACATCTGGCAGGTACCCTTTGGGATGAAGCTACCAGAGGAAGGAAGAGGCAGCAATCTTTGCTGTTCTGCAGCCCCTATGGGTGATTCCCAGGCAAGCAGGATCTGGAGTGGACCTCCGCAAACTGCAGCAGACCTGCAGCAGAGGGGCCTGACTGTTAGAAGGAAAACTAACAAACAGAAAGAAATCGCTTCAACATCAACAGAAAGGAAGTCCACTCAGAGACTCCATCCAAAAGTCACCAACTTTAAAGACCAAAGGTAGATAAATCTACAAAGATGGGAAGAAACCAGCTAAAAAAAAGCCTGAGATTGCCAAAAACCAGAATGCCTCTTCTCCTCCAAGGGATCACAACTCCTCACCACCAAGGGAACAAAACTGGATAGAGAATGAATTTGATGAATTGACAGAAACAAGCCTCAGAAGGTGGGTAATAAAAAACTTCTCTGAGCTAATGGAGCATGTTCTAACCCAATGTAAGGAAACTGAGAACCTTGAAGAAAGGTTAGATGAAATGCTAACTAGAATAACCAGTGTAGAGAAGAACATAAACGACTTGATGGAGCTGAAAAACACAGCATGAGAACTTTGAGAAGCATATACAAGTTTCAATAGCTGAATCGATCAAGTGGAAGAAAGGATATCAGAGATTGAAGATCAGCTCAATGAAATAATGTAAGAAGGCAAGATTAGAGAAAAAAAATTAAAAGAAATGAGCAAAGCCTCCAAAAATTTGGGATTATATGAAAAGACCAAATATATGTTTGATTGGTGTACCTGAATGTGACAGGGAGAATAAAACAAAGTTGAAAAACACTCTTCAGGATATTATCCAGGAGAATTCCCTCAACTTAGCAAGGCAAGCCGACTTCAAATACAGGAAATACAGAGAACATCACAAAGGTATTCCTTGAGAAGAGCAACCCCAAGGCACATAATTGTCAGATTCACCAGGGTTGAAATGAAGAAAAAAATGCTAAGGGTAGCCAGAGGGTTATCCACAAAGGCAAGCCCATCAGACTCACAGTGGATCTCTTGGCAGAAACCCTATAAGCCAGAGAGAGTGGGGGTCAAGGTTCAACATCTTATTTCCAGCCAAACTAAGCTTCATAGCGAAGGAAAAATAAAATCCTTTACAGACAAGCAGCTGCTGAGAGATTTTGTCACTACCCAGCCTGCCTTACAAGAGCTCCTGAAGGAAGCACTAAACATGGAAAGGAACAACCAGTACGAGCCACTGCAAAAACATACCAAACTATAAAGACCATCAACACTGAACAAACTGCATCAACTAATGGGCAAAACAACCAGCTAGCATCAAAATGGCAGGATCAAATTCACACATCACAATATTAGCCTTAAATGTAAATGGGCTAAATGCCCCAATCAAAAGACACAGACTGGAAAATTGGGTAAGAAGTCAAGACCCATCAGTGTGCTGCATTCAGGAAATTCATCTCACATGGAAAAACACACATAGGCTTAAAATAAAGGGATGAAGGAAGATTTGCTAAGCAAATGGAGAGCAAAAAAAAGCAGGGGTTGCAATCCTATCTCAGATAAAACAGACTTAAAACCAACAAAGATCAAAAGAGACAAAGAAGGGCATTACATAATGATAAAGGGATTAATGCAACAAGAAGAGCTAACTATCCTAAATATATATGCACCCAATACAGGAGCACCCAGATACATAAAGCAAGTTCTTAATGACCTGCAAAGAGACTTAGACTCCCACACAATAATAGTGGGAGACTTTAACACCCTACTATTAATACTAGACAGATCAATGAGACAGAAAATTAACAAGGATATCCAGGACTTGAACTCAGATCTGGACCAAGCAGACCTAAAAGACATCTACAGAACTCTCCACCCCAAAACCACAGAATATACATTGTTCTCAGCACCACATCCCACTTATTCTAAAATTGACCAGGTAATTGGAAGTAAAACATTCCTCTGCAAATGCAAAAGAATGGAAATCATAACAGTCTCTCAGACCACAGTGCAATCAGATTAGAACTTGGAATTAAGAAACTCACTCAAAACTACACAACTACATGGAAACTGAATAGATGCAGAGAAGGCCTTCGACAAAATTCAATGGCTCTTTATGCTAAAAAACTCTCAATAAACTAGGTATCAATGGATCATATCTCAAAATAATTAGGGCTATTTATGACAAACCCACAGCCAGTATCATACTGATGGGCAAAAATTGGAAGCATTTCCTTTGAAAACTGGCACAAGACAAGAATGCCCTTTCTCACCACTCCTATTCAACACAGTATTGGAAGTTCTGGCTAGGGCCATCATGCAAGAGAAAGAAATAAAGGTATTCAAATAGGAAGAGAGGATGTTAAATTGTCCCTGTTTGCAGATGCCATGATTGTATATTTAGAAAACACCATTGTCTCAGCCCAAAATCTCCTTAAGGTGATAAGCAACTTCAGCAAAATCTCAGGATAAAAAAAAAAAAATCAATGTACAAAAATCACAAGCATCCCTATACACCAATAATAGAAAAACAGAGAGCCAAATTGTGAGTGAACTCCCATTCACAATTGCTACAAAGAGAATACAATACTAATGAGTGATGTGAAGGACCTCTTCAAGGAAAACTACAAACTACTGCTCAAGGATATAAGAGAAGACACAAACAGATGGAAAAACATTCAATGCTCATGGTTAGGAAGAATCAATATCATGAAAATGGCTGTACTGCCCAAAGTAATTTATAGATTCAGTGCTATCCCCATTAGGCTATCAATGATTTTATTCACAGAATTGGAAAAAAAACACTGTAAACTTCATATGAAACCAAAAAAGAGCTCGCATAGCTAAGACAATCCTAAGCAAAAAACAAAAACAAAAACAAAAAACTTGCAGGCATCACACCACCTGACTTCAAACTGTATTACAAGATTACTGTAATCAAAACAGCATGGTACTGGTACCAAAACAGAGATATACACTAATGGAACAGAACAGAGGCCTCAGAAAGAATGCCACACAACTACACTGTCTTATCTTTGACAAACCTGACAAAAACAAGTAATGGAGATAGGATTCCCTATTTAATAGTGTTGGGAAAGCTGGCTCGCCAGATGCAGAAAGCTGAAACTGGAACCCCTCCTTATACCTTACACAAAAATTAAATCTAGATGGATTAAAGATTTAAACATGAGACCTAACACCATAAAAACTCTAGAAGAAAACCTAGGCAATACCATTCAGGACATAGGCATGGGCAAGGACTTGCATGACTAAAACACCGAAAGCAATGGCAACAAAAGCCAAATAGACAAATGGGATCTAATTAAACTTAAGAGCGTCTGCACAGCAAAAGAAACTTATCAATAGAGTGAACCAATAACCAACAGAATGGGAAAAAATTTTTGCAATCTACCCATCTGACAAAGGGCTAATATCCAGAATTTATGGAGAACTTAACAAATTTACAAGAAAAAAACAAACCCATCAAAAAGTGGGCAAAGGATATGAACAGATACTTATCAAAAGAAGACATTTATTGCAGCCAACAAACATATGAAAAAAGCTCATCATCACTGGTAATTAGAGAAATGCAAATCAAAACCATATTGAGATACCACCTCATGCCAGTTAGAATGGTGATCATTAAAAAATCAGGAGACAGGAGATGCTGAGAGGATGTGGAGAAATAGAAACACTTTTACACTGTTGGTGGGAGTGTAAATTAATTCAACCATTGTGGAAGACAGTGCAAGGATGTAGAAATAGAAATAGCTTTTGATGCAACAATCCCATTATTGGGTATATACCCAAAGGATTGTAAATCATTCTATTATAAAGACACAATCACACATATGTTTATTGTGGCACTGTTTCCAATAGCAAAGAGTTGGAACCAACCCAAATGCCCATCAAGGATAAACTGAAGAAAATGTGGCATATATACACCATGGAATACTATGCAGTCATAAAAAAGGATGAGTTCATGTCCTTTGCAGGGACATGGATGAAACTGGAAACCATCATTCTCAGAAAACTGACACAAGAACAGAAAACCAAACACATATGTTCTCACCCATAAGTGGGTGTTGGACAATGAGAACACATGGACACAGGGAGGAGAACATCACACACTGTGGCCGGGGGGGTCAGGAGTAAGGGGAGGGATAGCATTAGGAAAAATACCTAATGTAGATGACAGGGTGATGGATGCAGCAAACCACCACCATGGCACATATATACCTATGTAGCAAACCTGCACAATCTGCACATGTACCCCAGAACTTAAAGTATAATAAATAAATTTTTTTAAAAAAGAAAAGGGCATGTATTAATTAATGCATTAATTTGATTTAAATAGGACAGTATAAAAATCTGATTTGTTTGTATTTAATTAGCAAGACAGTATTCCAGCATTATAAATTGTTATAGCAATAGCCCTCAATTTAATCATGGATGTGTGTATCCATGCTCTTGAGAATACTAAAATCCATTTACATTTGGCTTGGTCATGTGACTTGCTTTGGACAACAGTCACTGCGGTAATGGTATATGTGACACAAGGAGGGACTTCAACATGCTTCTGCTTTGGAATACACCTTACTTTGCTGTTTCTGTAAAAACTATTAATCACCCCCATGCGAATGATCCCCAGGCTAGCCTGATGGTCATATATACAGATGATAGGGAGTAGTGACCCCCACCAGACCTGTGGGTTAGTGCATTCTAGACAAATCTTCCCCAAGCTGGCTGAAGGTAATATGGATGCTCAAACATTACCAGTGGAAAAACTACCCACCAGATTCAAACCCATACTGACAAATACACAGAAATGATTCTCATTTTGAGGCATTGAGTTTTCAGTTATTTCACAGCAAAAGCAAACAATGGAATCCAATTGTAAATTGTTTGCTAACACAATACTACAATGTCAGTTGAGTGTAAGGATTGCCATTTGATATTATTTATTAAATAGTGTCTAATTGTTCTTAAAAAACACAAACAAAAAAGAATACAGACTTCATAAAAAAAAAGTTTAGAAAATTATTAAACAACCCAATAGCTATACCTCATATCAACCTACAGAAATTCTGGAGCTGAAAATATAATAACTGAAATGAAAATCTCACTGGAAGATTTCAATAGTAGACTTGGTCAGGCAGAATAATAATAGAACTAGGCTAAACACATTAATAATTTTGTTAAATGTAAATGGATTAAATACCACAATAAAAAAATAGAGATTGTTAAACTGGCTAATGAAGTGTGACTCAATTATTTGCTATTTACAAGAAGCATACTTACATAAAGATGCTGATGATCAAAAAGTAAAACTGGAAAAAGATAACAGTAGGCATTATAAAGCTCTTATGACTGTATTAGCTAAGTAGAAAATAATACTATAGAAAAAGAGTATTACCAAGTATAAAGAGAAGTTTGAAAATGTTTAAAGAGTCAACCCATCAAGAAGACAGAACAATCTAAATATGTACAGATATCATTAGAATGCCTCAAAATTCATAAAGCAAAATTTGACAAAACTGAAGTAAGAAGTAGATCAATTCACTATCATAATTGGAAATTAGACTTTAACATATCTTGGTCAAGAATTGATATGTGTAGTCAAAAACAATTCAATAAAGATAAAGAAGATCTGATATAACTCCAGCAACTAACTTGACCTAATTAACATTTATAGAATGATACATCCACCAACTGCAGAATAAACATTACTTTTTAGGTACACATAGAACAATTTCAAGACAGAACATATGTTGAGCCATAAAATATGTCTCAGGAAATTTTTAAATATTGAAATATTGTAGTTCTCATACCATAAAAGAAATAAAATAGAATCAGTCACAGTAAGGTATCTAGACAAGTTCCAAATATTTGTGCTAAATATTAATTTAAATATTAAAAAGCACTAAGTGTTTGGAAATCAAACAATACACTAATTAAAAAATAGGTCAAGAAAGAAAACACAAAGGAAATCAGAAATATTTTGAATTGAATGACAATGAAGACAGTACAGAAACTGGCATATTTAACAAGAAGTTTCAGATAGATGCTAGATTAGTAGACAGAACACAGAGAAACAGAGGTAGAGATATAAAAGGAGGGTTAAGAAGATACTTAAAAATAAAATAGATTCAATTATATTTCAGCACAGAGCAGGCACTCATTTGCTTGTTATTGACTGAAATAATTCTGTCACACATACTACACTTATCACATACATAAATGCTTATTTTGTAATATGGTTTGGATCTGTGTCCTCACCAAATCTCATGTGAAATCATAATCTCCAGTGTTGCAGGTGGGGACTAGTGGGAGGTGATTGGCTCATGGAGATGGATTTCCCCCTTGATGCTGTTCTCTTGATAGCAAGTGAGTTCTCATGAGATCTGTTAGTTTTAAAGTATGTGGCACATCCCACCCCTTCCTCCTGCTCTGGCCATGTAAGACTGCTTCACCCTTCACCTTCTGCTATGATTATAAGTTTTTTGAGGCCTCCCCAGAAGCCAAGCAGGTGCTGCCATGCTTTCTGTATAGCCTGGAGAACCATGAGCCAATTAAACCTCTTTTCTTTATAAATTACCCAATGTCAGGTATTCCTTTATAGCAGTGTGAGAACAGACTAATACATAGTGTTTCTACTTTTTTATCTTTTACTTACCAAAGAAATTATTTTCTTGACAGATGAAAAAAAATGAATGGGAGATGAGTATAGGCTTGTTAGTATATTGTGTAAAACATTCTCATTCAAATTATGTTCTTATTTTGTTTTACCCTTGTATAAACTATTTTGTGCATTGTTAATGACTAACATCTTATCTCTTGTCACTTTCTTTTAGGGCTTTTTTATCCTAAATTGTCCAGACTTAACACCTTTGTCTTCCCAGTTGATATATCTTAATTTATCATTTAATGATCTTCGTTACTTTCCCACAGAAGTGAGTCCATTTGCATTGTTATGTACTAATACAACTTATTGTTATAATAAGTTATAAAGAATAATAATTATAAAGAATAGACATCTTTTTATACCTTGAAGTTACTAAAAAGTACTGTCAATGTATTTTGGATTGCATCTTTTAGATGGCTTATTTTCAGAAGTACAAAATGTACAGTACATCTTTCTTAGAAAGTCCCATGATACAATCCTCAAAGACTATGTTATAGTGAGGCTCTCAAATGTGTTCTCATAATTGTATAATGTATATTAAGTATTTATTCTTCTAACTCTGAATATAATCTAAAATAAACCTTATTTATGTGCTAATCAGAAGTTTTAAAAATAATAATGCACTGTTGTAACAAGTTTTAATTACCAAATGATAAAATATAATATTCTGCTTAATAAAGTGTATGAAGGATAATCATATATGGGATGAGCTAATTTAATGTCTTTTTAAGTGAATGAACCATTGTAAGTAATTAGGACAGATTGTGTTTTCAGTGTCTTTAGTTGTTGCTTCATTGATTACTGGGTAATTGGTGGTTTTGTAAATTGATTTCCAGAGTATTGTCTTTTAGTGAGTTCATTTTTGACAAATGTACTTTCTTCCTATTTCAATCATATAGTATTAAAAATATTATTTTCCATACTTTCTCTGTAATATAATGTTTTTATTTTCAATAGGAGAAGTTATTTCTTTTCTAATACATAACATCAGTTTTATTAATTTAACTAGGACAAATTGACAAGAATTCCCAAGGAATATAGAGATCTGAGTTCTTCACAATAATTTAACCTTTCTTCTAGGTAGATATAGATAATAATACGTGTGTATCTGCCAAAGAATACTAGCCACTAAAAAATAATGTATGAAGATAAGAGAGCTAGTCACATGTAAGATATTAAAGTGCTCATTATTAAAGTGACAGAAATCAACTTGTCATTAAAATGCAGATCTGTTTTATATAGCTATAGATAAAACATTCCAATGAGGATGGTAATTTCCAGGCTTAGAAAGACTGTTTTGGGGACAGGCTAATAAGACTCAGTTATAGAATACTGGGGACTGAGGTAAGTGGGATGATTCAAATTATTACTGGTTTCATGGAAAATTTAGGATGTTTGAATAAGGCAGAGTGCAGCAGCCACTAAAGTGGTTTAGGATGGGAGAAGGTAGAAGCAGAAATACTAATCTTCATTAAATAACGAAGATTAGTATAGCAAACACTGTATATATATACTCAGTCTTCTGTAAGATTCTTTAATAGTCATAAAATCATATATAGTAATAATTATAATGTATTGTTAGATCTGTAACATATATGCATATATGTATAGAAATTAGATGACAAAAAGAACGAATTGAATATGTATAAGGAACATTTTCATATCTCACTGGAATTAAATTAATATAAATCTGGAGTAAATTCTGATAAGGTGTATATCCTCTAAACAATCACTAAGAAAATAACTCAAGAGAACATACTGAAAAAAATTATTGAAGTAATAAAATGTTACACTAGAACATATTCACCTCGTGCAAAAGAAGGCAGTAGAGGCAGAATTAAAAGAACATATGACATATAGAAAGCCAAAAGTGAAATGACAGATGTAAATCCAATCCAATGTCAATAATAACATTAAATGGGAATATATCAAAAAATCCAATCAAAAGATACAGATTGTCAGACTGTATAAAATTATACAAGTTTTTATACAGATTCAGTGATAGGCTCTCTCCAGGAAACACACTTAAGATTAAAAGAAACACACGATTCAAGAAATTGAAGCCAAAAGCACGAGAAAATGTGTATCATGTGAACAGCAACAATAGGAAAGCTGAAGGGACTATACTAATATCAGACAAAATATATTTTGAAGCAAAAAAATATATTACTAGAGATAAAAAGGAACATTTTGTCAATTTATCAGATAATATAACATTATAAACAAATGTTTATTTAATAACAGAGCCCCAAAGTATATGAAGCAAAAACTGAAAGAATTAGAGGAAAAAATAGAAAATTCAACTATAATAATTGGACACTTCAACATCCCACTTTCAATAATGCATAGAAAAATTAGGCAGAAGAATAAGAGGAAAACAGAAGAATTGAACAACACTATAAACCAATTTGGGCTAATAAATCTGTGTGGAATTTTTTTGGTCTAACCCAAACCAACAGCAGCAGAATATATAATTCTCAAGTTTATATAACATTTTTCAAGATAAATCATATGTTAGATTACAAAATAAGGCTCAATAAGTTTTAAATGATTGAAAATCACAAAAGTCTATTTTTGGCTACATTGGAATTAAATTATAAAGCAAAAACTGAAAGAAACTTGGAAATTCACAAATATATGGAAATTAAGCACCATACTCCTAAATAACCAGTGAGTCAAAGAATAAGTTAAAATGAAATTAGAAACTATTTGTAGATAAATGAAAAAACAATATGCCACAATTTCTGAGATGCATTACAGAGTATTCAGAGGGAAATTTATAGCTGTAAATTCCTGTATTTTTTTTTTTTTTTTTTTTTAGACGGAGTTTCACTCTTGTTACCCAGGCTAGAGTGCAATGGCGCGATCTCAGCTCACCGCAACCTCCGCCTCCTGGGTTCAGGCAATTCTTCTGCCTCAGCCTCCCGAGTAGCTGGGATTACAGGCACGCACCACCATGCCCAGCTGATTTTCTTGTATTTTTAGTAGAGACGGGTTTTCACCATGTTGACCAGGATGGTCTCGATCTCTTGACCTCGTGATCCACCGGCCTTGGCCTCCCAAAGTGCTGGGATTACAGGTTTGAGCCACTGCGCCCGGCCGAATGCCTGTATTTTTTAAAAAAAGAAGAAATCTCTCAAACCAACTTTTCATGTAAAGCCACTAGAAAAAAAAGAGCAAACTAAACCTAAACAAAGAATAAGCAAGGAGATAGTGAATATTAGTACAGAAATTAGTGAAATAGAAGACAGAAAAACAGAGAAAATTTAAAAAACAGAAGTTATTAGTTTTAAAAAATCAACAAAATGGACAAATCTTATGTAGACTGACCAAGAAAAAAAACACAGGAGACTTATATTACTAAAGACAAGGATGAAGGAAGAAACATCACTACTGACCTTATAGAAATTAAAAAGATTGAAAGAAAATAGTATGAATAACTATATATCAACCAATTAAATAACTTAGGGGAAATGAACAAATTCCTACAAAGACACAAGAAGGGACTTTAGAAAATATGAATGGCTCCCTGACCCTAAAATTTATATAGAAATGCAAAGAATTCCAAAGAGCCAAAGTAATTTTGAAAAGAAAGGCAAACTTGGAGGACTAATGCTTCCGGTTTACAAGAATGAACTTGTTCTACTTCACCAATTTTGGACTTTTATGACTTTTATATGACTTGTTAACATTAAGTTATGATATGACTTTTATAAACTTGTTAACATTAAAAGATATGGCTTTTATAAACTTGTTAACATTAAGTTAACAAGGTTGAACTTAATGTTAAGAGAATTAATATAAGACCTTATTAATATTCACAGAGAAATATATGAATCAAGTAAAGATCATAGATTGATTTATTTTTCTTTTCAAAATTTGTATAAATTTAAGAGGAAGATAATAGATTTAAATGGTATGTTCTGTTTTTAAATTTCACATGAAAAATCAGTGTACATGAAATTACTGTGATATCAGAAATAATCTAGTTATGATATCTGACACTTCTCTGATCACTAAGGTTAATTCCACCTATCTTCCTGGTTCTGCAGATATCCCCTTCCTCCCTCATTATTGTGTGATTCCCTCCTGTGAAATTGTGAGCTTGGTCAGAAAGAGTGACTTTCACATTTAGAAAAGAACCATTCTTGAGTCAAGGTGTATGAGTACAGTAGTTGCACTGTTTCACCATATGATACATATTAAAGCTGGTCACTTATATTCAAGGTTGACCGAGGGTGTTTACTGAGTTACATGATAAAGCTAGTTAACGTTACTATAATGATTCTACTACATTAGCTCAGAGAATTTATAAAAGGTAACAAATAATTATTTGCATACTTTATTATTCCACTCACATTTGTTTCTCTTTTCTGTTCCCCAGATATTGTGTCTTAAATATTTACAAATACTGAAATTGAGAAATAATCCTATCAAAGAAATTCCTTCTGAAATTCAACAACTTAAGTTTCTTAGAATTTTCACCATTGCCTTTAATTTAATTACTGTTCTTCCACCTGGGTAAGGTTGATGGTCTGAGATTATAAACACAGAAAACAATTTATGATTTTGGAAAAGATCAGTTTCCCCTTTAAAAGCAGCTAACAGCTTTTTGGCTATTTAGTAATTCCTTTTCTATTCTAATTAGCTAATATGCTGCTTCTTACGATGTTAAAAACAATCCTACCAGCTACATACAGATCAGTTAATACGGGTCTAGTGAATGTATATCTAGAAGTACATTATCTGAGTGTGGGTTAAATGAACAGGAATTACCTAAAGCAGTTCAGGTGAGAGCCTTGCACCTGTCTCTTGACAGCCTTTTTTGATATGGAAAGAGCACTGAATTTGGAATTAGGAAATCTAGACATTTGACTGTAAAGTTGATGATAATTATATATTTGATCTGGAGAAAGTAATTTAACTATTCTTGGCCTCAATTTCCTAATCCAGAAACTAAGGAGATTGGCTTATATGATATCTAAGATCCTTTCAACTCCATAGGAATGCTGATATTTGGATATAAAAGAGATGGATTTCTTCTCATATATGGACTAGTAACTATTTAACTCCTAATGAAGGTTTTAAATCAAAATCTTAATCAACTGTCAAAAGATACTTTTTGCAATTAGAGTTTAACAGATTGAATCTCTAAATACAAAGAGAAAGGAACTCATAAATAGTTGAATAATACTTTGCAAAATAAGAGTCTTATAGTAATTAAGAAAGTGCATCCAGGCCAAGGTGGGTGGATCACGAGGTCAAGAGATTGAGACCATGTTGAAATCCCGTCTCTACTAAAAAATACAAAAATTAGCTGGGCGTGGTGGTGCGCGCCTGTATTCCCAGCTACTCAGGAGGCCGAGGCAGGAGAATCGCTTGAACCCAGGAGGAGGAGGTTGCAGTGAGCCGAGATCGCGCCACTGCACTCCAGCCTGGCGCCTGGAGACACAACAAGACTCTGTCTCAAAAAAAAAAAGTGCATCCAAATTCATTTATAAAGATGTTTATCCAGTATTGTTTGTTATGATCCAACAAATTGTATATTTATGGACATTCAGCTATTTAAAAGAATAAGAAATTATATTTTAAAAATTATACCATTTCTGTATAAAATACATATACATGTTACATATTACACATCACATATATAAAAAAGAATAAACACTAAAGAAGTAAGAATGTTACATATGGGTATTTTATTTCTCTTTAACTCATCTGTATTTTTCCACAGTACATAAATTATGTTTTCCCTGCTCTAATACTATTATCAACCATTTCTCTAAGGAAATCCTGTTTCCTTTTATTGGAAAATGGTATTTAAAAGCCAAGATCTGGGTGCTTGGTGTCCTTATCACCATTAGGATGATATTCCTTCTAGGCCCTCTCATTAGAGAGAGCAAAGTAATATATGTATGTATACTAACCCATGTGTACACACATATCTAATTGCTTATATAGCTATAAACACATATACAATTACATATATACAGACACAGAACTGTATACATATTAATATATATGTACATATACAGCATCTAAACATGAATTTCTACTAGATAATCTATAATCATAATTATACACTTTCAATAATCATAACTATCATTTAAACAAAATAAAAATTCCTAAAGCAAGTGAAATGTGATTTTAACTAAAAGGTCAACATTTTGTTCATTGTTTAGACATTGGGCAAATAGTATGAACTGTTGATTATAATCAAAAAGTTTTCAGAAGCTATTTTTTTAAAATATTAGTGTTTCTAAAATAAAGCACTGTGCTTTTATCAAATAACTTAGGATATGTATGCATATCAAGGGAAGATTGACAGCATATTAAAGCCAAGAATGAAAAGCATAGTGGGAAAAACTTTATTGACCTTGAGGAAGACTTCAAGCGAGCTCTGACATAATGAAAATGTTTATTTGCAAAGCTTGTTAAATGAAAACTCACCAGGAGGGCACTTATACAGTGAAGAATGGAGGTGCTGAATTCTTTGTATTTAAGGGTTGTTGTCAGAACTCTACCTTCCTGAGCAAAGAAGACCTCACACAGTGTGATGAGACTTACAAATCAGTAACTGAAATATATTTAAGATTATTCTGGCTCCGTGTAAATTCTGGAGTTTGGACATTATTACCATCACAAGCAAATTGCACTGATACACTTTGAATGTTATACTTTCATTCTTGTAATTAACTGAGCAGATGTTCATGAAGCATCTATTAGTACTATGTCCTCCTAGGAGCTCACCACCTAAGAGGAAGGCAGATGATTAAATACAATTAAGTAAAATAAAATAATGGAGATGTACGTGGTAAAATTTTTGAGTTACAAAGAGTGGCGCATAACCCACTCTGGAGGGTGAGATGGTTCCCTGGAAGAGAAGGTATTTGATCCAAAGATGACTGAGTATGAATTTAGGTAGATTAAACAGAAGAGACAACAAAGGATGGTTAGGCCATTGATAGGGTAGATATTTCTTCAAGGAAAAGTTACAACATATATGCAAAGAAGTAGCATATATAAGATGAGATGGGAAATACAAGCAGTTTGCTGTTTTTGAAGCTTAGAGGGCAACACCAGGTGGTAATAAATGGTACAGTAAGCAGGGACCAAATTATCTGCGAGCCTTGTGAACTAAGGTAAAGAATTTATGCTGTGTGCAATGAGAAATCTTTACAGGTTTTTCATAGGTAAGTGGTAAAACTTACGTTTTAGGTTATTCTAGTGGTGGTGTAGAGGGTGGATGTGAGGGGATAAACAGAACTAAAGGTGATTAGTTGGAAGGCCATTGCAGCAGTTCAAGCAAGAGATGAAGAGAACTTGGACCAAGGCGATGGTAGTGAGCATGGAGAAGGAAGAACAAATTGTTACGAAATTGGAGTAAAACCTGCAAGATCTGGTATTGAGACATAGAGACTATAAGGAACAGAAGAGTCAAGGTAAAGAAAAAAAAAGTCAAGTCAAGGTAACACCCAGGTTAGAGGGAAACAATTTTCTAGTTAGAGTGAAACAATTCAATCATGTAAAATATATTTATTATTTACTAAATACTGGGCTCTGTCCTAAGCATTGGGTTTAGATTGTTAAATGAAAGGCGTATGATCTTTTCCCTTTTCGAGTTTAGAATCCAGGGAAGGATGCAGGAATTTTAATAAACACCATAATAAATATATGAATATATAAATATAAAACATTCTAAGGGCTTTGACTGAAAAGAAAAATATGATGTCAGGAGAAACATAATTGAGTCACTAAGAAAGGTACATCTGAGGAAATGACATTTAAGCAGAGGCTTATGAATCCAGGCCAAGAACAGGAAAAATAACATTCATGCAGTGGGAATAACATGTGAAGTAATAAGAGCTTGGACTCCTCAAAGGCTGAAATGAAGCCAGCATGGCTCAGGGTAAAATGGAAGTGTGGTCCCAGGTGAGGTTTAGAGGTTGGATAGGGACAACATCCCATGACACTTTGAGGGTCAGGAGAAAACATTTCTGATTTATTTAAAGTGCATTGAGAGACCATTGGTTGTTGTTGAGGCTGAGGAGGTTTGAAGGAAGGAAAAGAATGAGTTTTGTTTTAGATTAACATGTTGGTTTTGGATTCTGTTTTCCATCACAAAGCTGGACCTGGACATAATAACTTCACAGGAGAGTTTTGTGCTGGAGATATTTCTTTTTTTTTTTTTGAGACAGAGTTTCGCTCTTGTTACCCAGGCTGGAGTGCAATGGCGCGATCTCGGCTCACCGCAACCTCCGCCTCCTGGGCTCAGGCAATTCTCCTGCCTCAGCCTCCTGAGTAGCTGGGATTACAGGCACCCACCACCATGCCCAGCTAATTTTTTTTGTATTTTTAGTAGAGACGGGGTTTCACCATGTTGACCAGGATGGTCTCGATCTCTTGACCTCATGATCCACCCGCCTCGGCCTCCCAAAGTGCTGGGATTACAGGCTTGAGCCACCGTGCCCGGCCGTGCTGGAGATATTTCTAAAGAAACATTTGTGTTTTAAATACAGGCAGATAAAGAGGAAATTATAAAGATTAAGGAAAAGCCTCAAACTGCATAAATAGAACCAAGTATATCATGGAAGCCAGGGAAGTGGATTATTTTGAAAAAGAAGGATGACCAACAGTGGCAAATACAATAGAGAAGCTCAATGAGAGAACATTTTTTAGTGGAATTATGGGAATAAAAGCTAGCTTCCAGTGGTTGTGATGGAATGGGGAGAGAGAAATTGGTAATAATGTATGTAGACCATTCTTTGTAGAGATTTAGATGCAATGTGAGAAGAGCAGTTAGATAAAAGCTAAAGAGAATGTAGGCTCTTAGAAACATTTTTGTTGTTAGTTTTTTTTTTATGATACTTTAAGTTCTGGGGTACATGTGCAGAATGTTCAGGTTTGTTACATAGGTATACATGTGCCATGGTAGTATGCTGCATCCATCATCCCGTCATCTACATTAGGTATTTCTCCTAATGCTATCCCTCCCCTAGCCCCTCACCCCCAGACAGGCTCTGGTGTGTGATGTTCCCCTCTCTGTGTCCATGTGTTCTCATTGTTCAACTACCACTTATGAGTAAGAACATGCAATGTTTGATTTTCTGTTGTGTTAGTTTGCTGGGAATGATGGTTTCCTGCTTCATCCATGTCCCTGCAAAGGACATGAACTCATCCTTTTTTTATGGCTGCATAGTATTCCGTGGCATATATGTGCCGCATATATGTAATAACTAATGTGTTAGTTTTTTAAAGACTTGGGTGTATTTACAGGATGTTAGAAAGAAACCAATAGGGAATAGATTGAAAATGTGGAAGGATGACAGATGATGCAGAATTGTACAGGAGATGGGAGGGGAAGTAATCAGCTCAGGTAGAGATTATGGCCTTGAGCAGGAGTAGTAATCCTTATTTCCTAAAACTGGAGGTAGGTCCCAAAAATGAACATGGAAAATACATATTTATATGGGTTAAAAAACAGGAAATTCATTTAGTCAACAAAGATTTATTTAGTTCTT